TCAACCTCGGATGGCTCAATAGGATCTATAACCACAATAGGGATCGAGGGTTCCGGACTAGCTTGATGGTCGGATGTTGGAGCTTGACTATCCCGGCTTCGATTTGCTTGATTACCTAAATCTTTTACTCTCACGACTTGCCAAGATGGATAAGCTTCGGTGGTAGCTACTTCACGACCATCTACTTTTCCACCTACCATGCCCCGTGTTAACCGAGTCTTCGATGATATGACTTAGAAAAGTAGGTGAGGCATCTTTTCTCAAATTTCCTTCAAAACCAGCCAATCCCATAGTTCCTAAAATTCCTTGCTCATAACCAAGTTGCTTAGACACCATACTGGGAGCATAACTAATGTATCATGTTGATCCAACCAAAGGGACCCAAGGAAAAGTTCTACGAGTAAACTAAATATGATGCTTGATTCATCCGGATGGCCTTCCATAGGACTTGGGAGTTCGACAAGTCGAGTAGCATGGTTCGCCATTCTTGTTCGGTATAGCTCTTCCATAGGGTAATCGTAAACTTCTTCAACAATTCTTGATCCTTTCACCAAACAGGGTCAAAGATTGATCTATATATCCCCATATGACTAATCATCCATATGCACAATAGTTGCACACAACACCTCATCCCACCTTTATCGGATCTTCGACGAGTGATTTAGTGATAGAATAGTCTCGACTAAAATTACAACGAGTGGGATTAACCGAGTTCTTCTCCACCTCAATGAACATATTTGCGAGCATCAAAACCGATTAATCCAATAGAGGATGGAAATAAGATCAAACCGAAGATGCATAAAACTAAGACCCGAAACTTCTTCGAGCTGGTGATGGGCTCCTTTAAGCTTTGTTTGAATATGTCTAATAAGATCTCATGGTGCCATCCCTCAATAGCACCTTTGGCTCATGCTCGACTCGGACTTACACCTAACCATCTTTCGACCCTATCAACCACTTCATCACGTCAATCGTATAAATAGACTTGATATGGAGGACTTTGTATTTGCAGTAGTTGGTGATACTCTTCTATTGTAGGAGTCATATCTATGTTTTCCATGGTGAAGCATCGATTTAAAGGGTCCCATAGAGAGATGAGGGCCCTCAACATAGGCTTCGAATCGATATCTCTATTAATGCCGCTAAGTTTTCCTATTTGTGCTTGAACACCCGTTTATCACCCTCGGTCGAGAGTCTCCAACATTCAAGGATTTTGTTGGAGTCGTTGATCATCAACCGTAACTTGGTTATCGGCCGATGGTCACTCCGAAATCCCTCTTGTAGGTAATCTCCTTCCACTCGCCGAAGGGCTTCGCATTCTATTTGAAAAATCGATGTCGGCTCGAAATATACTTGAGCTTTTTTATCACCCATCCCGAAACATTGTGACCAAATTATTTTAGTCAAGGTTTCCAACATGTCCGACTTGCCCAATGTGTTAGATAAGGGAATATGACCCTAAAGCCCGATTCTAGCCATTACATGATTGGGTAGGCTTTATCTAGGTCTTAAAGGGGTACCTTCCAGCCTAGTGAGTCTTTAGTAGAGTCACTAGGACTATCCATGTCAATATTAGCAATTGTGAAAAATCATCGATTACCCATCATCGATGGTAGCTAGCAAGTTTGATTAGTGTTTACTCGACGTGAAACCCATCGGGGCACCACTACAACTCCCTAGATCCCGAGGCAAATGCAAATGATAGTTACAATTATGTAGTGTAGTGTGTGAGGGCATAACTCCATATCCAGTCTCAAAAAAAATAATAATAAAAATAAAAAATAAAAAATAAGAAATTAAACAACTCAAGCTACGAGAACCAAAAAACACAAAAAGCACACATATAGACGGATACATTTTTGCCATAAAAGAAAAAACAGACAAACAAATAAATGATAATTACTCACTTAAAAATAAATAGGCATGGACCGGATATTCAAAGCATAGATATTCAAAGTTTGACCCTAGCATGACACTAATGTCCCTAGTGGAGTTGTCAATTCTATCAAGACGTCGGCCCAACAGGAGTAGGGAAAGGGGCCAAGATAAGGGAGTCACCACCTAGCTAATTGGGGGGAACTAGAAAAACCCTAAATATGCTCGGTCTACATCGATATCCGGGTAAGGGGTCGATTGCGTATGGGGAAGACATGATGTCACCACCATCCCGTCCTACCTAAGATAGGTCGCATTGTTTGTCTATGAATATTAAAATATAGTTTTATCATGTTTTGCTTCTATGTCTATTTGTGTGAACTTATTTGATAAAATTTTAGGACGAGATGGTTCAAGTGGGAAATAGGGTAGTTCGGGCATTCGAGTCTGGTCCAAGGCCTATACGCCCTACCCAAATGGAAAAAAGGTAGAAAAATTAGAATTTTGACTAATCATTAGTGAACACAACCTATTATCGAAAAATAGGTGAGTTTCTAAAGGTAGATAGCCTTTTACTTACATGAGCTACAAGTCGACGACAACTTCACTCACACAAGTGGGAAGCCGCCGATGACTTTGGGTCATGGATATGATAAGCTACCGACAACTTCGTCACAAAGGTGGAAAGCCACCGCAACTTCATGTCACTCAAAAGGAGCAAATGACTCGTTTTGAAAAGTCGTTGGTAGCTTCTTCACATAAGTGGGAAGATACCAATGGCATATATGCAAACAAATAAATAAAAATATTTTTGAGGCCCTCCGTGGCTTCGTCACATAAGTGAAAAGCTAACGACGGCCTATATATAAACAAATAAACAAAAAAATATTTTTTTAGGCCCTCCGACGGCTTCGTCACATAAGTGGGAAGCTACCGACGGCCTATATGTAAACAAATAAACAAAAAAAATGTTAAATGTTTTCGAGGCCCTCCGGCGGCTTCGTCACATAAGTGGGAAGCAATCGGTGGCTTATTTTCAAACATGATGCACATAAAAAAAAAAAGTAAAATAAAATAAACTAAAATAAAAATAAAATAAGGCAAAAATAAAGATGGGAAACAAATACAAAAACATCCAAAATGACTTCTTTGATGGTTCAAAGGGGCTTCCGTAAAGGGTTGCTCTGTAAAGGTTTTTAGGGGTTGTTGGTGACAATTTCGAGCCGATTTGGGGCTTTTGGCGTACTTTTGGGTCTATTTCGGGGCTGGTTTTGAGACTACTTTTGAGGTTTTTTGAGGGTATCTTAAAGATTCCTTGGTGATGTTTTAGTAGCTTTTTTGGGTAAGGGAAAGGCCAACCAAAAAGGATTGCTCTGTAAGGTTTTTTGGGGTCATCAATAACGGTTTTAGAACCGATTTAGGAGGTTTTTGGTAGATTTTTGGGTCAGTTTCGGGGCTGGTTTTGGGACTACTTTTGAGGGTGTTTTGTAGGGATCTTAAAGCTTTCTTGGGGGTGTTTTAGTGGCTGTTTTGGGTGAGGGAAAGGCTAGCCAAAAGGGGTTGCTCCGTAGCGTGGGAGAGGCTCGGGTCCGATGGCTTTGAAGGTGCCGGCGGGAGGTTGGCAAGAAGGGGGCTGCTGCGTGTGGGGTTGGCTAGCTGACGAGGGGGGTTTTTGTGTGTGGGTTGGCTGGTATAGTGAGGGGAGCAAGCGAGAGGGAGGCTGGTTGAGCAAGAGAGGGAGGCGAAAGGGAGGCTAGAAGCAGAGACTTGCAATTGGCGTCCAAGAGAGAGTTGCGGCAGCCTACGTCTCTTTTGCTTTAAGCTGACCATGAATAGTCCCCGTGATAAAAAAAAATGCATGGGTTTTATATTGGTAGGGTTTTTTGGCAAAAACGCACTTTGGTCCTTGATTTTCTTTCACGCATTTATTTGGGTTCAATTAATTCTTTATGTTTTAATTTAGGCCTCCTCTTGCCAAAAATTGAGACTTTTATTTTAATTGGTTCCAATTGTATCCCTCCTCATTGTAATTAAAAGGTTTGAAACTTTGATTTTTTTCCTCTATGCCCTCAATTTTCCTTTTAATTGTTTCCAACCTTTTTATTTTTTCGATTAAACCCTTTTTCTTAACTAACTACCCTAATTCTCTTTTTTTCTTTTTTTTTCTTTTTCTCTTTTTCTATTTTTGTTTTTATTTTTTTATCTTTTGTTATTTTCATAATAATAAATAAATAACTAATAAGTAAATAAATAAAAAGGATAAAAAATTAGGTGCTAACAAGCAACATGCAAATTATGGTCTTGTAAATCTAAGACGCGTAAGTTAATAGCAAGTTGAGTGATGTACGAGCCCAAAATCAAAGGTTTTGTAGACATGCGTATAATAGAATGCATCTTATGAAGGATCTAATAACCCAAATTGACCCTTTCACCCCTAGAAACATACCATAATAAGAAAAATTCTTTACGAGATAGTGTGCCGACAACATCCTTGCGGCTCGAATAGTTAAAGGCCAAAAATCTATGCAAAAGTCTCATAATGAGACGTTTCGGTAGGAACCTTTGGCATGGCTTGGTCTATAAGGTTCGGTACCCACGGCCCATTGTGGCTAAAAAGGTAGCGAGGATGAAATGAACCGAATAGTCATACGGAGATTTAGCAAACCTAGAGGTCCGTGCTTGGGTCGAGGTAATCAATCCTAGGGCCATGTTAAATTCAGCTATTGATAAAGAAAAATCTTGATGCATCAATCGAAAACCGACCACACCAAGCAAGATATACATCACAAGTTTCATGGTCCTCAAATCTAAAAGTTGTATAAAATTCTCTAATTAACTCAACAAAGGTAGGGTAATTAATATTAGTGTAAGAATTCCATCCCATATCATCAATCAATTTGTCAAACTCCTCAACAACATTCAATTGAACCAACATCGGGCGATGAATATACTTATAAGGTGTAATTTTTCTATTGTAAATTGCCGCATCCCTTTGCTTGTGTTCCTCGATGAAAAATATAAGAAAACCTCCCATTTGAATTTGAATACTCGTGGTAATGTTACGGAGGGTGCTTGTTGAGAAGAGGAACTAGAGTTATGGAAGTAGTGTGACTCTTTAGCATCCGATGAAGATACCGGAACCAATGGTGGTGGTGGCGGTCCCATTATGGAATTGGAAGCTTCTCCACCGTAGCTTGGTGGAGGACGAGGTGGGGGAGATTAGACCTCCATCAAGTCAGCATTTCTTCCCCTTCTTACTCGAGTGCGAGTTTGCATCGTAGGATTTTAGAATGGCGACAACGTTAGGGTTTAGGATTGTTAATTTTAATGTGTTGGGTTTTATGGGGAAAACGAAATGGGGGGGGAATTGGGGCAAGAGAAAACCCGGGTTTTGCAAGGGGAAGTGTTTGAGGTAAGTTTGGGGTAGTGGGTGAACTCGACAATGGGAGAAAATGGAGGTGGTTGGTCGGCGATTTTGGTGATGGTGGCCTCGGGTTTTGGAGAGAATTGGGGAAATGGAACACTTCTTTAAAAAAAATGAGATTGAAGTGTCCGGTCTATGAATTACAAATTAGAGAAGGCACATGAAGTGTGCCGTTTCACTTACTCAACAAAAAAAGGCCCCGATTTTACCAGTTTACCCTCCAGGTAGCTTATTGTTTCAAATTTGAAACAAGGTGCCCTTAAGGTCATTTCCCATCATTTCTCCTATAGTTCTCCATTGTTGCTCCCGAATTAAAACAAAAATGTAAGGTCATTTCTCATCATTTTTCCTATACTTCTCCATTGTTGCTCCCGAATTAAAACAAAAATGTAACCTACAAAACCTCAAGGATGGGTGAAGAAGATGATCTCAACGGAAAATCAAAAACATAAAAACGACTCTACCGCATGAGCACGTAGAATTACGTGGCCATGCTTATTCCTAAAAATGAAAATGACGAGTAAATATAAATAACTTCAAAATAAATGGATAGGTACGTGGGGTGCCTCCTAGTGAGCGCTAAGTTTAACATCGGACGCTTGATGTAAACGATGCTTATGGGTCTCCATAAATAGGTTTGTGTAGGTTTAACTCATCTTCCCCTCCGATCGATAAATTCTTTTGATATGGTTTAAGTATATGACCATTTACCTTAAAAGTTTTAGATGTAGCTAAACTCCGAATTTTCACAGCCCTATGTGGTGCAACGTGGGTGATAACAAAGGGGCCCAACCAACGTGACCTTAACTTTCTTGGAAACATTTTCAACTTTGAATGATAGAGGAGGACCCTCTAACCAACTAAGAATTCCTTCCATGATACCATTTTATCGTGGAAAGCCTTAGTTTTCTCCTTATAAATCTTGGAGTTCTCGTAGGCTTAATTTCAAATTTCTTCCGACTCTTGGAGTTGTAACTTCTCGTGGTGGCTATTTTCCTTCCAGTTCATGTTACATTGTTTAATAGCCCAATAAGCCTTATGTTCAAGTTCAACTGGAAGGTGACATGACTTACCATATACTAACTCTGTAAGGGGACATGCCAATGGGTGTTTTATAGGTCGTCCTATAAGCCCATAATGCATCTTCCAACCGAAGACTCCAATCTTTATGGGTTGGACCTATCATTTTTTCAAGAATGGACTTGATTTCTCGATTGGACACTTCGTCTTGGCCATTGGTCCGGGGGTGGTACGCGATGCCGACTCGGTGAGTTACACCATATCTCTTTAGCAAAGCTCCAACTATCTTGTTGCGAAGTGGGTGCCTATGTCGCCGATTATCGCTCTAGTGGATTCCGAATCCGCAGAATATGTTAGATTTAACAAAATCTACAATAACTTTAGAATCATCGGTTCTAGTGGCTTTTGCTTCCACCCACTTGGAGACATAATCCATAGCCAATAGAATATAGATAAAATCGAAAGATATGAGGAATGGACCCATAAAGTCAATACCCCGGACATCAAAAATTTCACAAAACAAGATAGGGGTTTGAGGCATCTCATGTCTTTGGAAGATGTTACCTGTCTTTTGATACCTCTCGCAAGACTTGCGGAATGAATAGGTGTCCCTAAATAAGTTAGGCCAATAAAATCCATATTCCAATACCTTTCTTGTTGTTCTATTTGCTCCAAAATGTCCTCCATATGCATGTGAGTGACGGAAAGTGAGGATGGAGGATATTTCTGTTTCGAGCACACATCTCCTAATCACTTGGTCCACATAATGCTTCCATAGATATGGATCATCCCATACATAGTGTTTAGCATCACTTTTAAGCTTGTCCCGCCTACCCTTAGAAAAATCCGTAGGTAAAATGTTAGATGTTAAATAATTCACAAGGTTGGCATACCATGGCAATTGTCCACTAATAGAGAATAATTTTTCATCGAGGAATTCTCCTCTCATATTTTCTTCGATTTCACATGCACCAAACGACTCAAGTGGTCTACAACGGAGTTTTCCGCACCACTTTTGTCCTTGACTCATTGATGAGTAGGATCCATCGCATAAGCCTTGGTTTTGCATCCTTCTTCATCATCAAATATCGAATGGCGAGCATGATCGGAATACACTACTACCTTGGTACCCGAAGGTAGGATCAAAACTTTTCCAAGGCGAAAACAACTACCGGGAATTTCTTTTCGGTAGTGCAGTTCTTCCGAGCCTCATTTAGAGCCATATATGTATAGTAAATCACGTGGGGAGTTTTTCCTATCCTTTGGCCTAAAACGACCCCCAACGCACCATCACTAGCATCACACATCAACTCAAGGGGAGACTCTAATTTGGTGGTTGGATGATGGGAGCTAAAATCGATATCCGTTTCAACTTATCAAAGGTTACTTTGTAATTTGTATCAAAATTGAAATTCATATCTTTTTGCGGCGACTTGCACAATAGTTGTGCTATCTTTGAGAAGTCTTTTGTGAAGCGCCTATAGAAACCCGCATGACCAAGGAAAGAGCAAACTTTTCGTACACTAGTGGGGTAAGGTAAGGACTCAATAACATTAATTTTTGCCTTGTCTACTTGTATCCCTCTAGTCGAAACAATATGTCCTAACATAATTCCTTGTTCCATCATAAAATAGCATTTTTCAAAATTCGGAACAAGATTTGTATAAATGCATCTTTACGGAACCAAAGTTAGATTATGCAAATATTTATCAAATGAGTCTCCATGAACAATAAAATCATCTATGAAGATTTCGATTTCTATAATGTGCTCTATATAATCCGAGAACATGCTTACCATACATCGTTGAAAAGTAGCGAGTGCATTGTATGCTCCAAATGGCATCCTTCTATATGCAAAGGTACCGAAGAGGCATGTAAATGTGGTATTCTCTTAGTCTTTTGGGGCTATAGCAATCTAAAAATAGCTCGAATAACCATCCAAAAAGCGAGTAATAAACACGGCTAGCTAGTCTTTCAATCATTTGATCGATGAATGGTAAGGGAAAATGATCCTTGCGTGTGATAGAGTTCAACCTTCTATAATCTATACATACTCTCCATCCATTTTGAACTCTAGTAGGGACTAAGTCCGCACTCGATTCCATTGTTAAGGTGCCACTATATACATCAATCTTTGTTATTACGGTTTTCAAAAATGGCCTTCCTAACAAAATTGGTGCTAAATTGTCATTATTTTCTATGTCAAGGACATAGAAATCAACGAGGAAGATTAGTTTTTTATTAACTTATACAAGAACATCCTCAATCACCCCCTTGGGATGAACAGTAGACCTATCGGCTAGTTGAATGATGACATTTGTTTTCTCTAGAGGTCCAAGGTTAAGAGTGATGGCATTACATTTATCGATGCTCCTAAGTCCAACATGGCTTTCTCAATGTCCGCGTCACCTATTGTGCATGGAATACAAAACCTACCCGGATCCTTATATTTTTCGGGAAGATTCCTATGTATGATAGTTGACACTTGTTCACTTACCTTGATTTTCTCTCCTCTTTTCAGCCTATGTTTGCTCTTTCATTGTGCATAGTTCTTTCAAGAACTTAGCATAGCGAGGAACTTGTTTGATTGCGTCTAGAAGTGGGATGTTGACCATATAATTTTGAAATGTTTCATACAAATCGGTATTGCTCTTGAACTTGCGGTTGGTGGTTAATGCTCGCTGAAAAGGGATGAGGGATTGTATATTCCCTTTGGGTTAGAGACTCGGTGTTCGTCTCCTCCTTCTTTTGAGGTGTCGGTTCGTCACTTCTTCTTCTTTCTCTATATGGCGTGGCGAGTGGTGCTAGTTGCACCTTTTGTTGTTGTTCCATTTCCTTACCACTTTGCAAGACTATGGCACTTGCATTTTCCTTTGGGTTTGCTATTGTTTGTAAGGGTAGCTTACCCGATGCTTGTGTCTCAAGTCTATTGACAACGAGTAGCCAATTGACCAACTTGATTCTCTAGATTTTGGATACTCGTTCTTCGTCTCTTGCTGAAATTTCACGAGTATTAGTGGCCAAAGTTTTAACAATATCCTTGAGAGACATACTCGAATTAGATATTTAAGTAGGGGGCTACTGTCTAGGTGGGTATTGTTGCTTGTAAGCTCGAAAATTATTAGCGGGTTGATTATTTGAGGCATTTCCATAGCAAAAGTTGGGATGATCCCACCAACCCGGATTATATGTGCTTGGAAAATGGATTGTAATTATGATGTGGTCGCCCGGAAAGCCACTCGCAACATTTGCTTGCTGAACATTATCTTCTTGAAGAGTTGGACACATGTCGGTTAAATGTCCCGAACCGAACAAATGCCATAAGCCTTCATGGTTTCGGTTTTACCTAGTGCCAATTGACGAACAAGAGCGAGTAAGATCAAAACGTTTTTCAAGAGAAGAAGAGTGTACCTCATTGACTCATCGAGTGGCAAAGTCCGATCTAGTGTTGAATTGTTGTGTGTTTGAGGCCATGTTGGAGATCGAATTCTTATTTCCTCGGGTGTTTTGTCAACTAAAGCACCGCCACTTGCGACATCAATCATACTCCCGTCGAAGGTAAGAGTCCTTCATAGAAGTATTGGATAAGCAATCGATCCGTGATCCGATGGTGTGGATAGCTTACACAAAGCTTTTTAAACCTCTCCTAATACTCATATAATGACTCTCCACCATGTTGCCTAATGCCACAAATTTCTTTCCTTATGCTCGGCTACCCCTAATGCGGGAAATAATTTATACAAGAACGACCTCTTCATCTCATGCCAAGTGGTAATACCGCTCGAAGGTAGGTAGTAGAGCCAATCTTGAGCATCATCTTTCAAGGAGAAAGGGAACGCCCTCAACTTAATTTACTCCTCTCGTTACACCATTGGGTTTCATACCCGTGCATACCACATGGAATTCCTTCAAGTGTTTATGGGGGTCTTCACCTGCAAACCCACAAAAACTAGACAACGGATGTATCGGCCTAGATTTTAACTCAAATGTGGTGTTTGTAGCAAAGTTAGGGAAGTTGATGTAGTGAGGATGCCGATCCAAGTCGGGCGGTAAGCTCTCTTAGTGTTTTGTTTTTTGCTGCGTTCTCTATGGTTTCAGCAGTGGATTACTCGCTAGTCCGGTCGACATCGTCTTCGTCGCTCGATCCGGTCGGTATCATCTTGCTCGCTCCGTCCGGTCAATAACTATGTGGCCACGCGATTCCGTTT